TTCTCCCCTCCATCCAGGTCTAGGAAGGTGAACATCCAAACTGGCTAGGCTCCCACAAAGCCAGAACATGAAGTAGGAACAAAACCCCATGCCATTGTCCTTGGCTTCTCAGCAGCCCTCATTGTCTGCCATGTTCAGAGAGTCCGGTTTTATCCCGTGCTTTTTCACAGTCCAGCTGGCCTTGGTGAGCTCACAATAGATCAGCCCCACTGTCTCGGTGGATGGGTGCACCTCTCGTGGTCCTGACTTCCATGCTCATGTTCTCCCTCCTTCTGCTCCTCATTGGGACTTTGGGAGCTTAGTCCAATGCTCCCGTGTGGGTCTCTATCTCCATCCATCGCCAGATGAAGGTTCTATGGTGATATGCAAGATATTCATCAGTATGGCTATAGGATAGGGCCATTTCAGGTTCCCTATCCTCAACTGCCCAAGGAACTAACTGGGGACATTGCCCTGGGCACCGAGTGCTGGAATTCTTGCATGTGCTCCTTGCCGGCTCTTAGCTATGGTTGAAGTAGAGAATCCGCCATGCGCAGTAGCGTTGCTCAGACTGCTCTGCCGTAGACCTTGGAGCCGACAGACGCTGGAAAGCTGAAATCAGACACCTGAAGCCCCCCATCTCCTGTATCCACATCACACATTGCTCTCCTCTCCCCCCACCCCCTCCCCCAGTTCTCTGATGTGAATGTCTTTTATAGTCATAGTTTTTTAGTTTTTTTCAGTTGTCACAAAATTACAAAGTGAATGTCATGCTCTAAGGGATCAGGGAAGGGGAAACAGAAGCCTTTAGAAACTCAATGTGTCTTTGTATTCGTGAGGACCAAAGCCCTGGCTGGGAACTGAGTTATGGGCTATGACTGTGATGTGGCCTTCTGCTTGAGCCAGAAAGGAGCCTCAGGCATGAACTAAGGATTAGGTTTCAAGTTGGGTTTCTGTAGGGAGCCTGAAGGGTGGGAGTGGTCTTGTAGCCACAGTAAGAGGTTTCCCTCTCTGTAAGATTGTAGACAAGAAACCTGAGGCCGATAGTGGATGAACCTGCTGAAGGTTGCTGAGAATTCTGCAGAATCCTGCCTAAGGAAATTACTCCTTTGCTTTCCTTGTTTACTTTCTTAAGACAGGGCTCTTGTAGCCCAGACTAGCCTCAGATTGTCTGGCATCTGACCTGATCCTTGCTGGAACTCCTGACCCTCCAGTCTCTATCACCTAAGGGATAGGGTCGTAGGCATACATTGCAATACCGATTTAGCTGAATCTTTCAGTTGGTGGAAGATGTACATAGTTTCTGACCATGAGCAGAATATTTCTTTGAATGTGCACAGTGTGTGATTAGGCAGTGGCCGGTAAGATGTAGAAACAGGGGTTTGCTGCTTGGGAAGGACAGTGGGTAGAACACTTGGTTGGCTGTTCTTGGAGAGTATGCCAAAGGGGACTGGCATCTCTGAGTCAGGCTCTCCACCCTTGGTGCTTGTTGAATGAAAGGAGAAAGAGTGATACAAACTACCAAAGAATAAAAAATAAAACAAAAACAAAAACAAACAAACAAACAAAAAAAAAAAAACACCGGGAAAGAGAAGGGAACTACAGAAGGCTCGGGATAGATGATGCTCCACGTAGGGAAAGGCTTGAGGTAGATGGTGCTCCAGGTAGAGAAAGACTCAGAGTAGGTGGTGCTCCAGGTAGAGAAAGGGTCGGGGTAGGTGGTGCTCCGGGTAGGGAAAGGTTCCGGATAGGTGGTGCCCCGGGGTAGGGAAAGGCTCACAATAGGTGGTGCTCTGGGTAGGGAAAGGGTCAGGGTAGGTGGTGCTCCGGGTAGGGAAAGGCCCGGGATTGGTGGTGCTCCGGGTAGCTAGATGCTGGCAATAGCCTGTGAGGTAGCAGAGGATTTTTCAGGGTACTGATTGCCCAGTGTGACTTCTTTACCTTTCATCTTGGTTCTGCTTAGCACTTCAAAAGACTTAGCACTTGGACTGTAACTCCTCCTACAATTACTACTTATGCATATGTGTGAATGTCCCTTAATGCTTTTTAACAGTTACCCATCTGTATACTGTGAACCTTTCTGTCTTGGTCAGAAATAAACATGATAGTACATTAAAATATCTAATGCATACACACACACACCATACATACATACATACATACATACATACATACATACATACATACATACATACACACATATAGTTTGAGTTTTTGGGCTTTTTCGTTTTAGTTTTTGGGGTTTTTTGTTTGTTTACCTGTTTGTTTTTGTGGGTTTTTTTTTTTTTGTGTGTGTGACAGAGTTTCTTTGTGTAGCTTTGGAGCCTGTCCTGGTACTTGCTTTGTAGACCAGGCTGCCTCCAACTCACGGAGATTCTCCTGCCTCTTCCTCCTGAGTGCTGGGATTAAAAGCCTGTGTCGTCACACCTGGCTTTTTTTGTTTTGTTTTGTTTTTGTTTTGCTTTTTTAAGGCAAGGTCTCACTACGTAGCCTTGACTAGCGTAAAACTCTCTAAAACTCTCTATGTAGACCAGGCTGGCCTGGAACTCCTAGTGACCCACCTGCCTCTGTCTCCTTAGTGCTGAGATTTTATTGCCAAGAGCTAGCATTTCCTGTTCGTGTGCTGTGGAACTGTGCATGCAGAATCTGCTTATTTAATTAGGAAGGTTGGCGTTCCAAACAGCCCAGAGCTTCCCAGAGCCGGAGAGAATAAATAGTTCATGCCATGTGTTAGCAGTGACTTCTCAAGCCTGCTGTGTGACACTGGGTGTCAAGTTTGTTTGTTTGTTTGTTTTTCATTAAAACATTTTTATAGAGGAGTTGGTTTCTTTCAAGGAATAATGGCGAAATCTGGCAACCAGATCAATGTAAACATTAAGAGTGAGTAGTGCTAAATTGTTTCAGTTTTTCAAGATAACAGTTCTGCTGGAAACATAAGCTGGCACAGATAATTATTCTGAGATAAATTTCGTTGAAAGTCGGAGCTGGATTGCTTGGTAATTTGTAGCTTACAGTAGTCTAGGTGTGGCCTTAAACTCGGTTTTACTTTCATATTGCAGCCACAAGTTCTACCAAATTGGAAGACCTGAGTTACTTAGATGGGCAGAGAAATGCTCCTCTCCGGACGTCCATTAGATTGCCCTGGCACAATACGGCTGGAGGTAGGACACAGGAAGTTAAAGGTATTTATCCTTGCATCCCGTGTCACCATGGCGAGCTTGCCCACTAAACACGGAACATCTGATAACCAGCATTCAGACTGTTGGGCGTGTGACGTGAAATGTGTTTGTACTCTTAAATAGCATCTTGAAGGTTTGCCGGCAGCCAACTTTAAGAACGTGGGGCTTCTTCCTTAAAGCATGGGATTGAGTTACTTCTGGTATAGAAAAATGATTCTGTGATAAAATAGTTGCCACTCCCCAAGCCTCAGTTTTGCTTCAGTCCCTTAGACCATATCAGCTATATCCCATGGCCGCCTGTAATGCCCAGCTGTGTGGTCAGGGGCTCTGTCATATGGGAAAGCACCACTGTCCCCAGATGAGGGCTGTGCCCTCGATTCTGGGAAATGTTTGCATTTTATCTGAGCAGGGCTGGAAGAAACCAGTCTTCCGTGTGCTTTCAGACAAACCGGCCAGACGTGATTGGAGCTTTTCCTTTACTTCCTCTGAATGCCTGCAAATAGGGCCAGGAAGTCATTTTAACAGGATGCTTTGGGGGACAAACAGGATATGGTGAACAGAGTATTATAAACAAGCCTATAGAACCAAGTTAGACACATCATCTCTTTTTATATTAAATTATACTGCACTCTCCATAAAAATGTTTGTTTGTTTGTTTGTTTTAAAGCCCGGTTTGCCCCCTACAAGCCGCAGGACATCTTGTTGAAGCCCTTGCTGTTTGAGGTGCCGAGCATCACCACCGACTCTGTGTTTGTGGGAAGGGACTGGCTCTTTCACCAGATAGAAGAAAGTCTGAGGAACACAGATCTGGCAGAAAACAGAGGCGCTGTGGTCGTGGGGAATGTGGGATTTGGAAAGACAGCCATCATTTCCAAGTTGGTGGCTCTCAGCTGTCATGGAAGCCGCATGAGGCAGATTGCATCCAGCAGCCCCAGCTCATCACCTAAAAGTACGTCTGTGGTTCTGACTTGTCTAGCTTAGTATATAATTAATATAAGACAGGTAGATGGCGGGAGCTGCTGTTTGAATGGACAGAAATAACCAATTTTCCAGAGGTCGTTCTAGCTACTGTTTTAGGTCTAAGTTCGTAGGTTAAGTGAACTGTCTGAATATGTCCAGCCATCATAGTGTGGTGGTGGTGGGGGGGGGGGGTAGCTTTTGCTTGTTTTCTTTTTGTGCTTTTTAAATAATTTTTGAGTGGGGAGGGAGAGAGAGGGTCTCCCGTTGTTTAGGGTATATTAGCTACAGTCTGGACTGATACCCACCTTCTTGTGTCCTTCTAACCTGGAACCCCAGTCTTCCTCTTTCCACAAAGGAAATATAACTAGAAGAAATATGACTAGGAACTCAGCCCTCCAGTGAGGAGATAGAGTGGGAGCTGGCGTGGTCATTTGAGACCTCTCCTTTCGAGTCATATTTGCTCATTACTGTTCAGATTTGTCTGGGATTAAATCAGAAGTATATTCCACGCTCCTTGTAATGCACACTGATGTTACAATCGTGTGTGTCTCTCTCTCTGCAGCATCAGATCCCACCCAGGACCTTCCTTTCACTCCGTTACTTTCACCAAGTTCTTCAACAAGTGCTCTCAGTGTGGCCAAAACGCCGGCTGGGCCCGGCACTGCTGAAAACCAGAGACCGAGAGAGGACGCAGTGAAATACCTCGCTTCTAAGGTAACTTGCTCTTGTCTTCCAGAGGTTTCCAGATAGAGAGTTGCCTGCTTGCCTTTGAGAAATGAGTTTGAGAAGGAATTGTTAAGACAGAAACAACTCCCAGGTGCTGGAGTGTAGTGTAACTTTAGATAAAGTATGACTGGGTACTCCAAATAAAAGGTTTCAATGAAAATAAATCCCAAAGACAACAGGGGTGGATTTATATCCATCTGAACCAAGTTCAGAAAAGTTCCTTAAGGCAGCAGAAGTCGTGTACTCCCCGCACACCCAACCTGACAAGCACGCGCCCTTTCATTTGCTCTGTGAGCGAGAGATGAGACAGCTGTTGACTCTGCCCAGACGCTTCTGCCTGGACCCTGTTGCCCAGGGCTGTGGGTCTCTGCATCCTTCTGCCAGAGGATTCTGAGGAGGTTGTAAAGGAGCTTTGGCTGATTCCCTAAACACGTGATGATCAAGGACTCTCTGAAACTCTCCCTTCTGCTCTGGGTCCAACACTGGCTTGTAGGCCACCTTTTCTGCACGCGAGCAGTTGTGTTTCTTGCCTTGATGAGCTGCGTCTGTCTTCAGGGACAGCAGTGGAGGGTTGTGATGAAGCGGGGAAACCATCAGATGTGGTATAGATACCTCGAGAGAACACACTGTGAGGTGGGACAGATGGACAGATGGTCTGAAAGGAATGTCACTCTGCCCAGCCCACTCCTACACTCACCTGCCCACCACACAGAAGGCAGCGGCCTGTGGCGTAGTGAACCAGCCTATGACCGCTGATCCGGAGCAGCCCTCTAGCCTTGAAGGGATGATCCGAGATGAAGGGCATCAGTCTCAAAGCTACACTTACTACACTGGTTTTTCCAGGCATTCTAATTGTGACCCACAGTAAAAGACATAGTGTAACATGCACACATACATAACCACACAGGTCACAGAGGCAAGGGTGTTACTGACCTCTGTTTAGCCTGTGTCCTATAGCATGTATGTTGTTTAAATTAACTTTATTCATATTTTAACTACCTATGGTTCCAGATGGATTTCATGGCCCATTTTGGCCATGAAATCACTTTTGTTGAATGTTGTGTAAAATGATGGCAATGGCTTTGTGCAGGTTTGGGGAATCCTCACGTAGGTTCGTGCTAATGTGTGTTTGGGTTGGAGTTGAAAGGCAGCGAGCATTTCTAAACTGGAAGCCATAGTGGTTCTGTATCGTCCCAAGAGAAGCTGTCTCGTATGTGCTCTAGCCTCTTGCTGGGAGTCTGCCATCATGGGATCTCGTGCAAGATCTTGAAGTGTATTGTCATCTTGACACGGTTTATCCTGCATCCATGGCCCCTATGATACACCGGAGCCAGCGGTCTGGGGCCCCTTCCTGCCGGAGCTGCAGGGCCGAGCAGGAGGGTGGCGACTCGGAGCCCTCTAGAAAGCACAGTGCAGTTTGCACGCGCATGCTGCCCTTTCCACCCTCCTCGCTCACACTCACCCTCTTGTTCTCATCCTTGGCGAAGGGGTAAGGCTTCCATTTCTGTAGAGCTTACCTCTTGTTCTCAGGAGCTCCGGCACAGACCCTTTGTTCGGGCGGAGGTGGGGGAGGTACCTCACAGACAACCGCTCCATGTCTGTCCTAACAAAGGGGCCCCTCAGCGTTGCAGGCTCGGGGCAGCTCTTCCCTGTCTCCCCTTGCGCCCTTCATGATAAGCAGACAGCTGGTAATTTCTTGGCTGTCCCTTTTGAACTTCTCCATAGTATCCCTTGAAGAAGTGAGGATGCAGGGAGGAGGTGAGAGCCATCCCTGCCAGGAGGGAGAAGCAGCTATGACTTTACAGCTTGGGTTCATAGCCGCCAACTTGATCCTGTGCTTTTTTTTGGATGAGCGGAGGGTCCCCTCAAAGTGCTGCTGATCTTGAGAACGGAAACGCCGTGCAGATGGTGGTGTTGGGTACACGGCTTGCTTGGAAGCGCTCTAAGCCAGACTAGGCATTGGGTTCTATAAGTGACTTTTACTAATCCTTATTCAAGACAGAGTACAGTTGTGCTGATTTCTGTGTTAATCAAGGTGGATCTGTGGCTGCCATGAGGTCTGCTGAGAACTTAGCAAATCACACCAGTGAAGAGCGGAATAAATATTAAGCTAGGGGCGAACTCTGCCTTGGGGAGCAGACACACAGTGTCTGATCTCAGGAAAAGTCACAGCTGTGTTCTTGTTTGAGTTCCTGGGAGGCGCTGCGGAGAGGGTGGGGTGACGCCATGTCTCTGCTTCTCCACAGGTGGTGGCCTACCATTATTGCCAGGCCGACAACACTTACACCTGCCTGGTGCCCGAGTTTGTCCACAGCATCGCTGCGTTGCTCTGCCGGTCCCACCAGCTGGCTGCCTACAGAGACCTTCTGATCAAGGAGCCTCAGCTGCAAAGCATGCTGAGCCTCCGCTCCTGCGTGCAGGACCCCGTGGCCGCTTTCAAGAGGGGTGTGCTGGAGCCGCTCACAAGCCTAAGACACGGTACTTTCTAGGAGCCTCAGAGCTGCTTCCCAGTACAGGCTGTTGCCCAAGTGGTCCTCAGAAGGATACTCAGCTTAGTCCTGGGGTGGTAGGGAGAGGATATTGAGGAGTCAACATGCGTCTGGTTCCACCACATCCATCCTCCGTGATGAGGTTTCCAATGGCGTGTCACTTCTAAGGAAGCCGTGTAGTGGAGGAAAGAGGAGACTTTCTGACCTACAAAGGTTTGATACTTGGTCTGTGAAATGAGCCAAGAGTAGACAGATACAGGGCAAAGCCAAGAGAACTTACTAATGCTGGCAGTGCATGGATGCGGATGATAACTGGGAACAGGATTTGAACACTCCATCTTCTGAAGGATCTTCAGCAAAGAGCAGCCGCTTTTAGGAGTAGTCAGACGTCAAAACAGGGAAGAGCTTGGGCTTCAGGAAACCGGGAAGATAAATGTACGGGATGGTTGATGCTGGTTACGAGTGGCTTGATACCTAGGCTTCTCCATTTCTCCAGCTGCGGGACACTGCAGGCTTCCCTTGTCGTCTCTTGTATCTAAGCTGAAAGGCCAGGCAGGAGCTCCCTGAACTTAACTTCACTGCTTTCGCCCTCACAGTCCTTTACGTTGCAAGTAGGCACATTCTGTGTCCCCGTATAACCTTAATCTGTGTAGGTGATACACACACCGAAGACTAGGTAATCCAAATAGTGAAGACTGTGTACACTCCCGGGCAGCAGGGTGGCCAGTTGGGAATCTAGCATGTTCTCCCTGCCACCTAGCCCCTGCTTAGGCGAACTGAAATCTAAAGCCATTTCTAGGAGTCTTGTTTTTGTTTTGTTTTGTTTTGTGTGGTTTGGTGTTTTGTTTTTTTTTTTTTTTTTTTTTGGTTTTCAAGATGGGGTTTCTCAGTGTAACAGCCCTAGCTGTCCTGGAACTAGCTCTGTTGATGAGGTTGGCCTTGAACTCAGAGATCTGCCTGCCTCTGCCTCTCAAGTGCTGGGGTTAAAGGCGTTGTGCCACCACTGCCCAGTGCTTTTTTGTTTTGTTTTGTTTTCTTTCTTTTTTCCACTTGCCCCTGAATAGTCTCCAAGTAGGAGTTGCCAGTGACATTATTGGTCCTCAAGATTTCCATCCTCTGCCCCCTCCTTTTTGAGTTACCCATCTACAAAGTGTCTTCTGTTAGAAGATGCTAGAATGGGGGCCTGAGATGGCCATCCCGCTGGCTCTGTGTTCTGATCAGAGAGCTGTCCGTGCTGTGCGAAGGAGCCCTCCCTGGGCTTCTGTAAAGCAGCGTTCTTAACCACGGGGTGATTCGGGCCAGACAGTCCTTGGTGGTAATGTAGGGAAGGCGGGTCCTCCTTTCCTGGAGTCGGTCCACAAAGGAATTCCTGGTGTCTCTTCCAGGTTTAGGCTCTCTGTGTGGCTGCAGGCTGTTCAGGTGATGGTGGCTTATCTAGAGCTAACTGCTATATGTATATGATTGAGATTCTGCTAATGTCTGTAATGCAATATGTTTCTGAAAACTGTTTTATAAGAATTAGTTTTCCTTTGGCTCAGTGCTCTGTTTTTTTCATTATAAATTTAATAGGAAATATGCTTCTTTGAAAACATGTCTCTGCCATATGTAAGCCTTTTTAGGTTGTGCTAACACTCCGAGCCGTGTGTTAAAATACACTGGGTGGTGCCATGCTATAGAAATGTATAATTTCTTAATTCGGAAAAATTACTTCATCTTTAGAGCAGAAAATTCCAGAAGAGGAGTACATCATTTTGATAGATGGCTTGAACGAAGCTGAGTTTCATAAGCCTGATTACGGAGATACGCTGTCTTCGTTTATTACGAAAATTATTCCCAAATTCCCCACCTGGCTGAAGCTGATCGTGACTGTGAGAGCAAATTTTCAGGTGAGGGAAGATGTTTGATGTCTGTCCCCTCTTTCCCGAGTGTGCAGCAACACTGGTCCTGGCTGAGTCCTAAAGCAAAATTTAAACAGCATGCTTAATTGTCTGTGCCTCGAAACATACCTTTTCAGTCATGTTTCCCTCGGTGGCATCATTTGGCAGCTAGGTTAAAACTTGAGCTGGGTCCTAGGTTCCTTTGCTGGCTGAATGTGGAGGCTCGGCTAACGTCCCTGCAGAATGGAAATAATTGTGCCTTACCCTCCCTCCTCTAGTTACTGCGTGAAAAAGAGATGTGTTTCAGAAGTATTAGTGAGAAGTTAAAATGTTTCCTCTCTGCTCTTGGGGTTGGGGTTATGCTGATCCTTGAAATAACAGATCAGGAACATCGGTGACACCAGCAGTCAGGATTCATCAAACAGTTCTCTCTGGAGCTGGAGAGATGGCTCGGTGATTAAGAGCACGGGCAACTCTTTTCAGAAGACCTAGGTGCGACTCCCAGGACCCAGACGGTGGCTCACAGCCATCACAGCTCTTGTTCCAAAGCATCCAACACCCTTGTTGTAGGTACCAGGCATACACACGCACAGATATGCAGACAAAACACTTGTGTCCATAAAATAATTTATTGAGAGAATATTTACTTAAAATTCTTTAGGAATGAGAACCTGCTATACTGGAACAGGCAGTGATTTTTGTCCAGGTACGCAGGCAGGGTGGGATGTCTCCTGTTTCCTGGTGGGGTTACACAGCTCTGATATCCGATGCAGGGAAGGTGCCTCTTGTCTCGTGTCTGACTGTGCTCTTCCATGTGCTGTGTTGGTTTGTGTTTACCCTTGTTTTAGAACCAGCTGCTCAGGTATGGCTCTAAATCGGGTCACCTGCAGGGTCTTCCTGCCCCACTGTTGATCTGTTGATAAGGCCTGGTTGCTGCAGTCTACTTGGGCCCCTCCCTCCACTCGTTAGGCTTAGCTTCCTCGATGAGGGCTTTAGGAAAGCCTTTGCCGATCCTATCTCGCATCAGGATTTCTTTCACATAAGCCTTTTATCTGCACCTTATCCTATTACACGTTTTAATACAAAACCACGAGGCCCTGTAATCCACGAAAATCCTCCTTGAAAGAGAATGAGCGAACCCGCTTTAAAGGGAGAAGGGAGACTCCGCGAAGTGACACTGTGGGTCTTTGTTTCCTCCCAGGAAATCATCAGCGCGCTGCCGTTTGTCAAGCTTTCCTTAGACGACTTTCCAGACAACAAAGACATTCACAGCGACCTGCACGCCTATGTCCAGCACAGGGTCCACAGCAGCCAGGACATCCTCAGCAACATCTCCCTGAATGGCAAGGCCGACGCCGCCCTTATCGGCAAAGTCAGCAGCCATCTGGTGCTGCGGAGCCTCGGGTCCTACTTGTACCTCAAGCTCACGCTGGACCTCTTCCAGCGGGGACACCTGGTCATAAAGAGTGCCAGCTACAAGGTGGTGCCCGTGTCTCTGTCTGAGCTCTATTTGCTGCAGTGCAACATGAAGTTCATGACCCAGTCTGCCTTCGACAGAGCCCTTCCCATTTTAAACGTGGCCCTCGCGTCCCTCCACCCCATGACGGATGAGCAGATCTTTCAGGCTATCAACGCCGGCCACATCCAGGGCGAGCAGGGCTGGGAGGACTTTCAGCAAAGGATGGAGGCCCTCTCCTGCTTCCTCATCAAGAGGAGAGACAAGACGCGGATGTTCTGCCACCCGTCCTTCAGGGAGTGGCTGGTGTGGAGAGCCGACGGGGAAAGCACGGCCTTCCTGTGTGAGCCCAGGTACTGGAGGCGTTTCCATGGGCACTCAGAGGAGTTTGAGTACCAAGTGCCATGCGGTTTTGCTGTTGGTTGTCCCCATTTTGGTCATGAGAGAGTGAAAAGGTTTCCATACATTTCTACCAAAGCTTCCCTCATTTGATGACTGGAACCGCGGGATTTCTAGTGTATTTGGGCGCATGGGAAGCTGAGAGGAGCCGGGATGATGTTTCCGAGCTGCTAATTGTTTCACTGATGTGTCTCCTCCCACTGGCATGGCAGGTCTTACACGGGAAATGTATCTCTGCTTGAGGGAATAGTGAGCTTCTGTAGAATGTTTGCCCGTGGCTGGAGTCTGTCTTGGATCCTTAACCAACTGCCACTGTTTGGCTACCGTTGGCCATATAGCACCTGATCCCTGGGAGCACAGGTGTGGGGGGGACAGAGGGGAGCCCTGTAATCCAACTTAGCTGTCTCCTTACAGTGCAGGGTGCAGTTCTTACAGCACTCAGACTGCAGGAGGGTGGGCAGATAAGCCTGCCTGCCTGCCTGCTTGCCTGCTTACCAGCCGTACCTAGTACAAAATAGGGTGAGAGGTCAGAAGACTCCAAGTGCCTTTGGGCATGGCTGTTCCCAAGCCCTCCCTCTGTCTCGCCTGCACCTTTGCTCTCTTGAACGGCTGTTCTCTGAGTCAGGATTGCTTCCTACTCTACTCTGGCAGGTTGCTGGGTTGTCTCCTCAGAAGTACAGGGTGCTTGGTTGACCGCTTGGGTCTAGAAACGAAGAGACCAGTGAGTCGCCCCGCGCGCGACTTGGTTAGGAAAGAAGGTTGGATACTAGAGCCAGATTACCAGCGGCAACCAAGTATGTGCTGTGACAGCTTTTCGGGGAGAGATCATTTTTGAGGATGATCAGCCGCAGGTAACTTTGTAGAGACAAAAAGCCATCAGGAGACTCACAGGGTGTAGACCACTGGTGTTAGAGGAGGAAGTAGCTGGACTGGGGTCGTTGTTGACCCTGGCTGCATTTCCAACGGTGGTGGCAGTTCAGCACAGGGCAGAGCTGCGTGTGGCAGCTGCTGCAGGAGCAGTAACACAGACAGACCGCTGTCACCGGGACCTGAGGAGAGAGCAGCCCCCATCAGAGGTGTGTTTGTAAACGCTTTACCCACCTGTAGGCCATCTCTAATACACAAGCTTTGTGGTTAAATCGGCATTGCTTGCTTTTTCGTGCTTCTGTTTCCAGTGCTTTTGAAGTCTTCTTCTGGACAGTCCTTGTTTATTCTAATGGCTTGAAGTGTTTCCTGTTTTCCTTGCCCATGGTTCTTAGTCTTGCATTTAAGTCTTTATTTTTGAGGTATTTTTAAAGTGGTGAGTGATATGTTCAGTTTTACTCTTCTACTTAATTGAAAAGAGTCCTTTTTTTTTTTTTGGTGCATAATAGTATTACTTTTGTTGGAAATCAGTTGGGTGTAAAAATGTGAGTTTACTTCCAGAGGCTGGTTGTATTTTAGAGGTCCATGTGGGTTTATGCAATTACCATACTGTTTTGATAACTGGAGCTTTGTAGTACATTTTGAAGTCAAGTACTGTTATGCCTTCTGCTTTGTTCTTTTTGTTCATGTATTTTCTGTATTTGTTCCATTTTGCAAGGATACCTCAAAGATTGTGGTGAACACTTCTCAAAGGAGATATTCAACTTTAAATCTCTGTGTGATGCTAGACTCCCCCAACCATGCCTGGATTTCACAAGACTCATGGTCTAGAACCATCTGCTATTTTCTCCATGCAATTAGCTTGAGAAGCAAAAGGATATAGGATTCTAATAGGAAGAAGGTGTTCCTGCAGACAGGGAGAGCTTCAGAAACAGCACAGGGGGTGTTCTGGCAGAAATTAATCTGACTGGAGCTTTTTTTATGGTGTGGAGGACTGGGAAGAGCCAGCAGAAGAATATTAACCCATTTCTATTAATCTGTGTATCACCACGAGGTTGTGGCTTAGCAGTAGAGGTTCTGGGCATCTTTCTCCTTGGGCAGCTACATGGTGTCTCCTGACTCGGCCTACTCTCTCTCTATATATGTATATCTCTGTTCTGATTTCCCACCTGGCTTTACTCTTCTAAGCCATTGGCCCAAAGAGCTTTATTCATCAACTAATAAAAGCAACACATATACAGAAGGACATCCCACATCACTCAAGAGACCCCTTCTGCCGGGTTGTAAGGAGGCCAGAGAAGAGGGGGAGTGTTGAGTGGTTTGGGTTCAATAATGCAGGCACCTGAAGTCTTGTCAGGAGCATCATCCAGACAATGTAATCCCCGAGGAAGGGGAACCGGAACTGAGAAGGACAGAAAGTTACATTGTCTCATTGGGCCTGCTTCTTGCTTTCTCCCACAGCGGCTCTTTGCAGCGTCTTTCTGGCTGAATTGCATTATGGGTACATGTGTCTCCTCCAGTTGCTGAGAGCCCCTGAAGGGAGGTACCCAGGGTTGTTCTCGCTCATGCCCAAGCTCTTGAGACTGGTGCCCACTCTCAGTTACTAGCCATTTGGTCTTGGGCAAATCATCTAATGTGTTGAGGCCACTTTCTCATATAGGCAGACGGGGCATTATAACACTGCGTGACTCACAAGGTCATGTGGGTGAAGGAAATAACGCAGTTTGGTTTCTGGGTCTAAAGAGGAGCACATGGAGCATGGATGCACTGGGGAAGACCAGTCATAGGGTCCATGGGGGCTGCACAGACACAGAATGACAGGATTTCAGACAGGCGGGAAGCCACATGCTTTGCTGAGAGCCCTGAAAACCCTTGGGCCGGACACTGAAGTCCTTACTTGTTGCCCACAGTGGAACCATCTGTAACCGTGTAATTTACAAGTTTTAGCGTATATTAATTATAGAGTAATAGTTTCATTATATGCTTTCATATGTGCAGTTAACATAGTTCGATCATATGCAGCCCCCCCCCCATACCTAATCTTCCTTCCCTTTATCTCTTCTCCCATTTCATGCTGTTTTCTCCAAGACTGTACACAGAAAACATAATGCACTTGTCCTTCTGAGCCGGACTTATTTCACCTAACACGGTGAACTCCATTTCCATCACTTTCATTTTCCTACGTGTGGATGTTTTCCCAACATCATTTGTTAAAGAATCCACCTTTTCTTTAGCATGTATTTTTGGCACCTTGTGGGAAATCTGGTGGCTGTAGTCACAAGTGTTTATTTCTAGGCCTATGGTTTGTTCCAGTTGTCCTTGTTTTTATTCCATTGTCTTCCTGGTTTTGTTACTATGGTTCTCTAGTATATTTTACAATCAAGTATTGAGCTTCCAGGATTGATCTTTTTACTCGGGATTGCATTGGGATTTTCCAGCTTTTTGTGCTTCCATATGAATGTTAAAATTTACTTTTTCTAGTTGTATCAAGAATGTCATTGGTATTTTGGTAGGGATTGTGTTAACTGTATAGATCACTTTCAATAATACGGGCCATTTAAACAATGGTATATTGCCAGTCTATGCACCTAGGAGATGCAGTTTTCTAGTATCTTCTTCAGCTTCCTTCTTCAGTGACTTTTAATTTTCATTGCGGAGGTCTCTCACCTTCTTACCGTGAATGGATTTCTTTTTCAGCAGGCTTTTAGTATGTTGAAACCTACTGATTTTGTAGTAGCCTGTTACAAACTGGGTGTGGACACACGCCTTTAACCCCAGTACTCCAGAGGCAGAGGCAGGCTGATCTGTGTGAGTTTGAAATGTGTGGCTCTTCTAGGCTCTATTTCTCGGGAGCTATTGCTATGCAGGGTCCTGGCTTTTCTTCTCTTCCCCTTATAAAGGCTAGGTCTGTCTTTTGCCAGTTATGCCCCAGAATGGTGACGGGGGAGGGGGTTGCTGAGGGCATGAAGATTCTGTACCACCTTCCCTCCTATAAGCACATCTTCGTCTGTTGACTATTGGGCATCTTGTTAGGCATCATGATTATAGCTGTGACTTAGTCAAGACCCTTGGTGTCATGGAGTCTTGCATTTTTGTGACAGGGCTTAAACAAAAACTTCGGGTGATGAGGGAGAGACGGTGACGCGCAGGAAGGGGTTTCTGGAGACCCAGGCATGAAGGTGCTTACTCAGCAGAGGTAGGAAACCTCAGGAAAGGCCTGCAAATGGCTGCAGAATAAACATCACTGGCCGTCTTTGTAAAGAACCAGGGAGGACTGGTGAGCTCCCTAAATGTTCCGTGTACTCATGCTGATGGCCACAGGTGACAGTTCAGGGGCCTTGTGGTATCCTCATCTGAGGTCCTGTGGTGTGGTGGGATGGATGGGATCTTTTGTCACGAGCCTTTGTATTTCTTGCCCTAGGAACGGACACGCTCTACTGGCGTTCATGTTCTCTCGGCAGGAGAGCAAGCTGAACCGCCAGCAGACCATGGAGCTCGGCCACCACATCCTGAAGGCACACATTTTCAAGGTGAGGGTTGCGCGAATTTTTTGTGGTTTGAAGATTTGAGGCAGGTCTGTGGGCCCTTCACTCATTCCCTAGTGTGTCGTTCCTAATCAAAGAACTCGAGTTGCATGGCCTGTATGTTTCATACCACCTGGGTTCTCCAGCCCTGCTTGTTTCTCAAGTGAGGTTTGATGTGTGCCTCTTCCCCTGGATTTCCTGTCTAGGTAGGTGTGTCTAGAGCCTTTCTCAGGTTTGAGGTTTTGTTTCATTTGCAAAGTGCCAAGATTACAGTGCTCAGTGAGACTATTCTATATCAGGAGACACAGCATTGAGTTTGCCTCTTATTTGTAATGCTACCAGCCTCTACTGGCCACTGCCTAGACCCCTTCCTTCATTAGGAGTTTGTAACATGATGGCCTGCTTGTTGGGGTTTCTGTCCTGCCCAGTTCCCACAGTCTTTAGGTCCCAAAGAAAATTACACAGAGAGTCTAAATTAATGTTAAACTGATTAGCCCATTAGCTCGGGCTTCTTATTAGCTCTTATAACTTATATTAACCCATTATTCTTATCTATGTTGGTCACATGGCTCAGTACCTTTTTCAGCAGGGTAGGTCACATCCTGCTTCTTTGGTGTCTGGACAGGACTGGGAAGGAATGGGCTTCCTCCTTCCCAGAATTCTCTTGTTCTCCTTGCCCCGCCTCTACTTCCTGTCTGGTTGTCCCACCTATACTTCCTGCCTGGCTACTGGCCAGTCAGAGTTTTTTTAAATCATAATTGACAGAATACAGAATTGTCCCACACCAGGAGTTATAGGTACTTTATTTCTTACCCTCTGACTTCCTTCTGCAGAAGGAAGTTTTCTCCTTATCTCTTTCCCTCAGTTCCCAGGGTCAAGGTCTGTGATTTCCTGACCCTGAGCTGTGCTTACAGGCCAAGGGGTCCTGTGGGTACAGCACAGCTCTGTTGGGCAGGCTCACTTTCAAACTGATGCTCAGCTGGGAGGAAGCGCTCACAGGCGTCTGTCCTTGGTTGTTTCCAGGGCCTCAGTAAGAAGACTGGAGTCTCCTCGAGCCATCTGCAGGCCTTGTGGATCGGTTACAGCACAGAGGGGCTGTCTGCTGCCCTGGCCTCGCTCAGGAACCTCTATACTCCCAATGTGAAGGTGAGTCGCCTTCTGCAGGGGTTCCAGGCCTATTCCTCCTCTGCCAGTCTAGCCAGCCAAGGCTCCAGGGAGGGCTGGTGAGCTCCTGGTGCTGTCTTCCCTGCATGCTCATCACGCCCTCCCCCTATCGGGAGATAGGGTAGACAGGGCCACTCTGTTAGCTCACAGTGACCATGGCAGAGAGGATGTGGTCAGCAGGTAATCCACAAAGGGAATCAGAGGTCAGAGAGCTTTGCAGGGAAACAGGATCTTTAGTATCGTGAATTATTACAGCAATCTGGCTGACCCAAAACAGTGGGTCACAGAAAGCTTCCTGCAGGTTCCAGGGACACACACTCCTGGCGGTGGAGAGACTAGTAGGTTGGCTGCAGGCGGAGCTGAGAGCAGCTTTGCGCAGTTCTCAGTGGCTTTCCAGCCGTGCTCTTCTTGCTGTACTTTTGCAGAGAGATTTTCCTTCCCTGTTAGCAGAGTGTATAACACAGTCTTTGACTCAAAATCACACCGTAGACCAGATCTCTGGTTATAGCCACACAGACGTGTTCAGCCCCGCGTCCTAACATGCCCTGCTATGCAAACTCGGGGGACTGGGTCTTCACTCTGAGTCTCTACGAAGTGATAATTGCACCTGCTCTCTCACAGTAAAGCCAAAGGAAGCCCAGTGTGCTTGTCAGTGAAAAAGGAAGCAAGGCCTGGTTCAGGTTTCAGGTATCTGGCATCCACTTTCCCTCAAGAAAGGGACTGCATGCACCAGAAATGGAGACATCGGTAGCACTTCTGGACCCTTTAGTTCCCCTTCTTCCTGCCTCGCTCACTGTCCCCTCAGAATTCGTCCCTTGGCCGTGGCTCTGGAGTCTGCACTGTGGAGCTTCCCCTGCCAGTTAGAGCTGCTCTGCCTTCCTCTGTCTCTGTTGAAGAGTGAGGTTATCACATGCCAAGGATTGTGGGTATCAGGGAGGACCTAACGGGGGTGAGTCTAGGTAGATGACCCAGAACCCTGCTGGCCAGTGTAGGACCTTGGTATAGAGCAGAGTGTCTGTTGTATCTAGGTAGATACAGATAGTGTTTGCGGTGAGAAAAATCTGGCTGGATCCCTGTGGCACCCCGCTCCCCGCTGTGGATCTTCAGCTTGACTCAGCCCCTCATCTGGGGACCTTCACACTGAAGAAGAGCCGTGCCGCTAGGGACCCTGGGGACCTCGTGCGTGTTCTGTCCTCCAGACTCCTAGCTCTCAGTGCTTTCGTCCTGATGGAGCCTTGCATGCAGGTTTTCATAAGTGGGTAGGCAGGAAACCATTTCCGTAATGCAGGAGAAGCAGTTCACACTGCTGTCCCTTGGCCCAGGAAAAGCTTGCTTTCCAGATGGAGTTTCCCCAGAAGTGGATGGTTCTAATTTTAGACGTCATATAAAGATAGCCGTGTTGTGATTTTTTTTCCACTTAGATTTTATAAATATTCAAGTTTAGGTTACTATAACATTGGTCATCTTTCTGCCTAAAGCAGTATATAGCTTTTGGCTTCTTCATAGAACTGATAAATATAAAAGAAGAAAAGAAGGGATGAGCTGGCAATATCTGTTTACACTACCTTAATGGATTTATAGACATAGATGTTAACTCCCGTGGGCTCTAAGTGTGTAGAGGAATGGGTGGGAAAGGTTAAACTCCGTGAATGTGGGTTTTCAAGACAGCAGACTACACAGCTTCTCTCTGCGGGATATCGGCTTTCCCCGTAATGTGCTGGCGAATTTGCATTCTTCATTTTTACTTTGTCTTATAAAATTCCCATGTTCCCTACCTCTGTACCATCCCCAAATTTATGTAACTTGGCTCTACAATCTTAAGTCCTTCCATTATCTTCTGTTTTTGTCCTTGTAAGTCTCTGATGAGGGAGAAAACTGTCTTCACAGAATATTGAACAAATTACAGTAATTTAAAATTATGCATGCAATTAAGGAACTGTTTTTAGAGAATATTAACTGTTGTCATACAGGAATGAATGTCATTTTGAAAATAATTGCAGTTTGCCACTTTGGGCAAATTAAAATGACTTGCTCGGGAATGAGTGCTTGGTAATTTTGGAAGTGTGCTGGCGATTGCTAGTCCTGTGGCCTCTGTTACTGGGGCAGACTCATGCTGGCCTGTCCCGGCATGGCCCACTGGGATCCTGCCCAGCTGGTTGGTTTGCTAGAATGTTGTTGCACGGCTGGTGCCAGCCCTCACATGCATGAGAGCATTGGGCTGCTGATGCTTTGCTCAAGCTTAAAGGAGAGACCAGCAAAGAGGCAGGGACTTGTCTGTTGGACTCTGCGTCACAATTTAACAGGACACATAATGGCCCCACTTCTGTAAGCTTCTAGCGTGCCGCTTCGCAGCTTGAGCTGGTTGGCACTTCTCCAGGTTCCTGTTGTCAGAGGTGCCGCACTACCCGTGTGTGTTTTCCTAAGTTGCTAGGTTGCATCGCCACTTTCAAGTGTCAGCCAAAGAGAAGCTCCTGTAGATGGGCACGAATGCATGAGTCATCTCATCCCTTCCTGTGGGCCACACAGGATCTGCTACGGCCCTGCTCTGCAGCAGCAACTGCTTTGTGTCCTGAGCTACCTTCGCCCTGCCCACTCTGAACACTCGAGTCCTCACTTCTGAAAAGGAGATAACAAAACGCCACCTCCCAGCGATCAGAAAACTGGCAGCCAAAGCTCCTGGGAAAGCGCCTGGCGTGGCCTGTGTACCCAGGTGGATTGTTTTCATTGCTGCTCCCCGTGGCTCTGGAAACTGTGACGCCTCCTGGGCTGCGGGCACCTGGGAACCTTGAGATGGTGGCTGGCTTGTGAGGCCCTCCATCCTGTTTGTACTGTGGATCGTCTCAGGGTACACACTGGGCAGTGGGTGGGTGATGGGCCCCCAGAGCTCCAGGGCCCTCACTCTGAAGAAAACACAGGGGGATAATGACAGTAGCTGCTGATGTGTCTTTGGAACTTTTGAAATACTGAGTATAGTACTGAGTCAGCCTCTCTCTCGCTCTCTTTCCTCCTCTCTTCCCCCTCTCTCCCCACTTCCTTTACCTCCTTATCCCCTTCCCTCTGATTCCTTTCCTCCCTCTCTCCTTGGGGGAGCATAATGTTATTTTTGACATTTAATCTTAAAACCACCTAGGGAATGGGTGCTTTTGTTCCCATTTTTCGACCAGGGAGCGGAGGATGGAAGGACACCTGATTCTCAGTGTGCCATAGTGTGTCTACAGGCACACCTGTCCCCTTGTGGATGTACAGCCTGCTTCCAAAGCCCATCCTCTTAGGAGCTGGGTCACCAGAGCCCCAGACTCAGTAAAGCCGGGGTCTCTGGCCTAGGGTCCAGGCTCTGGAGATTTCGAAGCTCTGGTGACTTCTAGTGTGCCTTGTGTGGTTCAGAACGATGAAGAATGATCTAGGAACCGGCAGGGTTTTAAGTGGTGAAAATGCAGTGCAGCGAAAAGGAACTGTTTCACCAAAGCAGATGGCATGTGAATGGGTGAGAAGGCCTGTGCCCCAGAACACACCTTCCAAGAATCCAAGAATCAGATCTGCACCACGGGGCCCAGTGCACTCCTGGACCCAGGTTTGCAGAGATCATGTTGAGCAGAACGGGGTGACACGGCCGTTTCCTAGAGGAGCCTGGAACCCTGAGACACCGAAGAATGGTTTTGAGAGTCACTGAATTCAGATGATGACGATCCCTCTGATGGGATAAGCAGCTGGACAGATGGTCAGGTGATCAGATGACCTGACAGGGCCTCCTCGTGGCAGCTGTATGTCTCGCCCTTTCTTACGGATAAGTACTGGTCTCAGTGATGAGGGAAGACCCTGTGCATATGTGATCTCCAAGAATGGAAGAATGATTTTCTTGCATCTCTTCTCTGTGGACTTGGTTTAGAAACGGCGTCCAGCGCAGTGAGCTAAGAACACAGGAACATGCTAAGGGATAATTAGGGCCAGGAGTCTCTGCCGGCGTGGAGTGTGCCTAGAGCGGGGTGGGGAGACTGCACTTTGGCATTCTGTTGTTGGAACAGAGACTCACAGAGACATCCTTTGCTGTCTGCGGAACAAGCATTCAAGGCAGAGGAGCTGAAAGGGGAAAGACTGTGAAGGCAGGGCCTGTTTAGTGTTCCTGGGACCGGAGGACTCACACTGATGCCATGGTCCTGGAGAGAATGTTAGAGAGAAAGCTGGGGACCACTGTCTTGTGGAGTTCAAGCTTCAGCAGCATGGAGACACCTTAACGTTTCATATTTTGGGTTCTAATATGTCAAAGAGATGCCACCATGGGCCATGGTTTCTCCTGTATCTACAGTTTGTAAATATTCTATCAGCTACTCCATGGACACATCACTGAACTACCCAGAATTTTGACATGCCCATCTCCTTTCTATATCTTTTAATAATCCCCACATGTCTCTAGTCAAATAGATGACATGGTCTCTGGGGTTTTCAATCAAATAGTCAGCCCAGAGGACCTGTCGGGGCTTGGCAGGAGGAGTGATGGATGCAGGTTGGAGCTGTTTAAAGGGACCAGTTGCAGAAATGCGTGTATGGACATCTTTATAGGTGTGAAAAGTGTATCATTTTTTCCCTCATCATCTTGACATTTGAAGGAGATTCTAGTTAGAGATTTGCATCTGTTTAGTGAATTTAATATGTGTAAATCCGAAACTTGATACCTGGCAGGTGTTGTGTGCAGTCGTCAGCAGGAGCAGCAGAGGACATGCTGTCTGTCGGTGTGCGGTGCTCACGATCCGAGGTCACAGGGACGTTTCTCTGCTTTCTCCTTGCAGGAACATATTCTTGTCGAGAAAAGAGACTATTCGTGTTTTCTTTTGGCTTTATCTCGTTGCTAACGATTCCATCCTTGATTATTATTTCATTGTTAAAATGGCGAATTTTCTCTGTAGTTGCTTGTCAAAGTGTAGCTCCTACACCAATAATATTATCGTTCACTGGAAAACATTAAAAAGTTGCCTCCCAGGGCCTGGAGAGAGGACCCCCAGGCTAAGAACACTTGTTCTTCTGACAGAATATCGTGGCTTGATTCCTAGCACCTATGTGGTGGCTCATAACCATTCATAACTCTGGTTATAGGGGATCTGATGCCATCTTCTGACCTCTGTGAACACCAGGCATGCACAGGATAGCACAAATATACATGCAGGCAAAACATTCATCTTCATAAAGTAAAAAAAAAATAAATCTTTTGAAGATGTTTTATGTAGGGCATGAGGAAGGAGAAGGTACTATACGTGCCAAAAAATTATTTTCACTTGTGATGGACTAAAAATCCATAATAGAAAATTTAACATCTGCTGGGCAGTGGTGGCGCATACCTTTAATCCCAGCACTCGGGAGGCAGAGGCAGGGGGATCTCTGTAAGTTCAAGAATAGTCTGGTCTACAAAGTGAATTCCAGGACTGTCAGAACTGTTTACAGAGAAACCCTGTGTTTAATTTTAAGTCAGCATAGTCTGTTTAGATTTAATGTTGTAAATCTCTAGAATTTTTCATAAAGTAGGTCTCTTTAGCCACTGAACACTCTGGTTTCCCCTCTGTCTATACCTGGAAGCCATGCTCAGCTTGCGTCTGTGTTTGAATACTTTGGGTACATCCTTTATAGTATCATAATAGTATCATCATGTGGCCCTTGTCTTTTTGCTTATTTAGCATATTTCATATTCGTCTCTGTTGTAGCATCACCATACTTCCTTTCTGAGCCCGAATCTTTCCACTGTTGGCATACATCTATCCATCCTCAGCTGGTGGACCCTGGGGTTGCTTCTGGCTCAGCCTCCATGAATGCTGGTGACATGAACTTGGTGTGCTTATTTCTTCAGGACTCTGCTTTCAGTCATTGTGGATATATCCCCAGAAGTAGTTCACAGTGCATTCTGTTTTCCATTATTTGGATGAACTTGGGCAGTTTCCAACAGTGAAGATGCACACATACATACATACATATATACATACATACGTTCATGTGCATGAGTGAGTGCACACATACACACCATTCACGCACATGCACGAGTGTGCATACACTGGCTGCTGGTACATTTCAACCTTGAGATCTGTTGGAATAAAAAGCTGCAGATTCTGCCCTTCTTCGCAGATGCTGTTAAGACTAACATATGTATGATGTTAATCTTGTTGGGGGACATTGTCCGACAGGTGAGCCGGCTCCTGATTTTGGGAGGTGCCAACGTGAACTACAGGACGGAAGTGTTAAATAACGCCCCCATCCTGTGCGTCCAGTCTCACCTTGGCCATGAGGAGGTTGTGACCCTGCTTCTGGAATTTGGCGCCTGCCTGGATGGGATGTCCGAGAATGGTATGAACGCGCTCTGCTACGCAGCTGCCGCGGGCCACATGAAGCTGGTGTGTCTGCTGATCAAGAAGGGGGCAAGGGTAAGCAGCGGCCTCTTGCCGCGGAAGCTGACAGCGGGGTGACGGAGGGGGTGGGAAATATCTTCCTGTCATTACCGGGATTGTCGGCCACTAGGCCAGGCTTGGAGGATTTCAGCTTTGTGAAGTGAGTTAAGAGGTTATAGAATCGGTGTAGAAGGCCGGGGCATCTGGTTGGAACCCCAGGAAGAGGTAGCTATATGTGCCTAAACTTTTGGTCTGCTTGCTGTTGTACCAGGCAGATTCCTGGCCACTGAATCTATTTTAGAATCTAACATGGTACCACAATTGTTTAGATTTTTCAGAATTTTTTTTCATGTGTGTGTTTGTGTGTGTGTGTGTGTGTGTGCACATGTGTACACATGTGTGCGTGTGCGCTCCCTGGAGAGAGTTGGTTCTCTCCTACTATATGGGTTCTGGGAATTAAACTGGGTAGGAAGTGCCTTTTCCTCTTGAACCATCTTGCCAGCCCTGTTGGAAAGATTTTAAATGTTTACGTTACGCCAGTCCAAGTGCCCCCTCTTGTCCTGTTTCATGATTCTTTTAAGGCAATCCCATGAGTTCTCTGGTTTAGAAGTCATATGCTTTTGTGGGAACTGTCTAAAATCATTCCATTCCCACCTGGAACATTGGGCCTCATCTGTCTGGAATGCCAGGGACAGTGCCGGGACACTGGTGCGGGCGTTAGGATATGAAGTCCCAGGCTCCTAGCTGAAGTGAGATGGGTGCTGAGCTTGGCATAGCTCCTCTTCAGCTTAAACTATGCATATGCACTTTTCACAGGCAAATGAGCCTGTTGAATAGCAATGGGTAAAGCACTGCTAACTGTCTTTTGCCTGTTAAGTTAGGCTTATAGTAGATACAGAAATGTTTGTTTTGTTTTGTTTGTTTGCTTTTCTTAAAAGTCCAACATTTGGGACGTCTGAACCTCAGCTCCAGTTTTGGGGGTGCATTCCTATCTGCTGCACGGCACATGCCTCAATTTCTGGATGTCAGCTGTCTCTTAGCTTTCTTCTGAGGCCAGTGGTGTCTCTGCTGTCACATCTGAAAGCTTGCAGGTAGAGGCTCGCTGTCATGTTGGGGACTCTTGCAGAGTCTCCGAGTGATGAGGCAGCATGTCCCTAGTTTTGCAAACATGTCAGAGCTGGGTCCTAGGATGCCCCCATTTAGGTAAGGAATGCTGGGGGTTCAGCACTCAGGTTTCTTCTGACTAGCTGGCACCTCCCAGCTCTGTGGCTTTCATTGATGAGCCGGTATGTCCCAGGTCGTCTCCCTGCCCATTCTTCCTCTGTCCTCCTGCCTTTAGATCTGTGTTCTCTAGAGCCTTGCCTTTCTGTGGCTCCCTGGTTCAGTGACCGAAGGTCTCAGAGCAGCCTGAAATGACTTCATCTAAGAACCCCATTGAGAAGCACAGGGCTTTGTCTGAGGGTTCCGTCTGTGAGCTCTGTGCAGTTTGCTGAGAGATGAGTGCATGAGAAGACTGTCTTGTGGTTGCTAGTCCTGTAAAGGGAGCCCGAGGCCTGGCTGAGTGTTCTTACCACAGTGAAGGGAGACAAAGGTTCGTTGCTGTTCAGAAAGACAGGATGGAATGTGAGCCCTTGTTCTTTTGCAACAGCCCGAGTTTGCTTCTAGCCTTCAGGGCATTCGCTCTCTCAGTGTATAGAGGATGCTCACCTATGCCTTTGTCCTGCCTTGCTCCCCAGGTAGACCACTTGGATAAGAAGGGTCAGTGTGCACTCGTTCACAGCGCGCTACGGGGCCACAGTGACATTCTCCAGTACCTCCTGAATTGTGAGTGGTCAGCGGGTCCTCCCCAGCCTGGCACGCTAAGGAAGAGCCAAGCCCTGCAGCAGGCACTGACGGCAGCCGCCAGCATGGGCCACAGCTCGGTGAGTGGGGCTGTAGGGTTGCTCCCTGAGGTATAAGATGCTGTAGCCCAACGTCTGTTGTTTGGTCACGACCCTCTAAGTTGAGAGCCACCGCAGCAAAAGGAACCCAGGATTTCAAGAAGTCGCTGCTGACCTGAGCCAGAAGAGGGCTTCCAGTGGCTCTGTATCCTTGCTGTGAGTGAGGCCCACGGTCTTGTGGGCATGTGGGCAGAGCACTCTCCTCCCACGCAGAAGCCCTTGTGGGTGCTCACTGTTTCTCTCATTCTCCCTTCCTCTCCTCTTCTGCATTACCTCCATTTTGCTATCTTTCTGCCCAGCCCCTTTGGCTCCTTCTTTGGTCCTTAAGACCAATCCCATGGAACCCTAGTCTGAAATCATGCTTCAGTGTGTGAAGGGTTTTTAAAAACAGAGCTTGGGTGCGCTGAGAGCCAGTGAGGGCCCTTTGTTTGGATTTCCCACACCAAAGGGGAGATCAACGCAGCGTCTCTCTCTGATGGACGTCACTAGCTTTACGCTTGAAGGCTGCTTGTCTTCAGCTGGCCTGTTTCTCTGCCTCTCGGCTGTGACTGTAATGGCATTTGCTCCCACTTTGCCCTGTTTTTCTCACTCTTTGCTATCTTTAAGCAGCTGAAGGTGCCAGTTTTTGGTGATATTCTTTCCCCCAGATGACTAAAATTTGAATGCCAAGCTGGCTGGCTGGTATTTGGCACTTACACACGATGGCAGATATGCAGATAAGCATGCATAGCTGACTGGCTAATATCTGGCATGCGTACGTTATAGTTAAATACTGTATACATATCTGAAAAATGTAGATATTTTCTTATTCTGTTTGTCTTGGTTTTTTTAAAAACAAGACCTCATACAGCCTAGTCTCTATAACTACCGCTCTTCCTGCCTCTGCCTCCCCAGTGCAGGAACAACAAGCGTGGGACACCATGTTCTGCCTCTTCCTCCCACTGTCTGAATGAGGGGCTCCAACATGCCATCCCTAGGAGGCCTGTGAGCATGTGCACACCCCCACATGACACACATGCCCCGTGTTTGAAAGTGATGCTTTTCATTTCTCGGGTCCACCACATAGGAGTCGGCCTGGAGAACACTGAACTACCTCAGCACAACCAATGCTCATTTCAGGCAGAGAAGCAAGATTCCTTAGAAGTCCCAAAGAGGACATTAATTTCCTAATGTCATCACAGCAAATGACCAGACCCTCAGCGACTAAAACACAGCACACACTTAATCTTAATGCTCTAGGGGTCAGCTATCTAATTTTAAGGTGAGAAGAGCCAGCTTCCCTCAAGGCTCCAGGAGCCAGCCTTTTCTGGGTTTTCTAGCTTCTAGAGGCCACCCCCTTCCCTAGCTCAGACCTGCTTCTTCCATCTTCAGAGTACACAGCCCCCCTTGCCCTCTCTCTTCCTTCCTCCTCTGGCCCACCCTCCTCCTGTCCCATCCTTGTGAGTGTTGTGGTTGTACCAGGTTCGTGACAGACTGTACGCCCAGACATAATCACTCCATTTCAAGGTCTGTGATTTCCTCCTGCCATTCAAGGAGCACCCACAGCTTCTGGGGATTAGCAGGAGACCCAGTCAGCAGACCGCAAACAATACAGATTGGGAGCCTGGAAAATGGCTTTGTCGCACTCTCCTGTCATTCAGGAGGATGCTGGCTCCAGTCCAGGGCACAGGTACTCCATCTCTCCCCAAGAGCAAGCAACTTGTAAACCTGCTCTGCTCTTCAGTGGGAAGACGCCCAGAAGGGAGAGAGGGGCAGTGCTGTCAGTAGAAAAATCATTCGGATAATACTAAAAGAAACTTTTTACTGTAACAAGTCTACATCACCTTGTTTTCCTTCCTCGTAAAGAATGCACTAATGGTGATTTATGCAGAAGCTGCACTTTCTGTGATCTGCTGGGCCCTCTGTTGATTATGCTGGCATATTTGGGTCATGTTGGAGTTCATTAGAATTCCAAGTACCTGGTAATCCTGAGCAGAGTTGCCGAAATTCACTGAGATCGTTTTTTTTTTTTTTTTTTTAATTCTCCAAGTGCAAGTGTGACTAGCATACAAATTACGTTTGGAAATGGTTTTCATTCTATTTTCTCTACTTGTGCAGCACAAGATAATAATGGTTAAAATCCGACACTCTCTCCTTTGATAGACGGGCTATAATAAGCACCTATTGCTCCAAGAGCTCATTAAATCACCTTGCCACGTCTGACAGGTAGTCCAGTGTTTGCTGGGAATGGCAGAAGAACATGATATCGAAGTCAATGGCACCGACACATTGTGGGGAGAAACAGGTAATTATGCTCCCACTGTTTGTAGTCGGGGGGCAGCTTGCGTGATGTCTCAGCCCCGCCGCCGTGGCCTGATTGTCTTAGGAATGACTTGGCGATGAGTGTACTCCTTGTTTTTATTTTATCACGAGGCATTTGGCGCCTAAGCTTGCCAAATGAGTAATAAAACTTCTGTGGAAGCCATAAAAGGGATGCATTTTGAGGTAGAGCAGCAATTACCACGCACTTGAGGAGCACCCAGTGGAAATGCCTTAGTGTGGGGCATTGAGTTTGCACCTGTCCCGACCTACCTGATCTTCCTTTGATGCCTGCCAAGAGAGCTAGGCAGCAGTCCGTTGTCAAGGGAATCAGAGGTGGCTCAGTAGAGAAGTGCACAACCCACTCTGCCTTGTGGAATGAGGGTAGAAGTCAGGTCTCATAGCCCCGTATAAAATACTGAATACAGTCCAAAGTCCCTTTCCGTTGGTCAGAGGAGGGGGGTCTGCGGGACTTGCTTGGGAAGAAAGATTAATGTTCAGATTAATGAAGATACTGCTGCTTTGAGATTTCCCATTCAACAGATGTATCCAAGATGCTTAACCTGTTTCCTGGCTGTGTCCAGGATGCATGCATTTGCCATTTCTCCTGCACAGATCTGTTCCTCATGCTTCTAAGTTCTTTGCTAACAAGGCAGATGGTGGTGTGGAGAGTTTATTAGCTAGCTCACACTTGGGAGAAGCCTCAGAGATTTTCCTGGTGGGCATGCAGGCCTGCCCTTCAGAGCCACATGGCTCACTCTGGGAAGCCACTGTCAGCTGGCTTTGTAGCTCTCGCTGTGGACTGCAGGCGGAGCGAGGCATGGCATGGATTGCAGAGAAAGTGTAGGACTCCAGATGGTATGGCTCCGTCCCGAATGTCTGTCCCCTCCCCGTTGAGGTGCTGCCAGTTGGTTGATGTCTAAAGAGACACTTGAGAAATTAAAGACTTCACACTTAAAAAAAAAAGCACACATTTATTGTGTCACACTTTGTGAGAGTTGGAAGCCTAGGCTCAGCAGGGCTGGGTTCCCTGCTTCAGGCTCTCCCTCCCCATAATCCTAGGTATTGGCTTGAGCTGTGCTCCCGTCAGGGACTCGCCTGCTTCCAAGAGGTTGTTGATAGTATTTATCTCCTTGCTGCTGTACATGAGTCTGGTGAAAAGCCATAGACTTGTTCAGCCCTTCTCTTACAAGGCCTTATGTGCCGTCTTCAGACTTCGTGACCTAGAAAGCAGTTCTTAGCATCATTAGTAAGGATTTGGATGAATTCAGTCAGCCAAGAGGTTTTTGATTTGAGCGCTTCCTTCTGTTTACTTTTTAAGATTTCATATAATATCTTGATCATATTCTCCTTCCCTATCCTTTTCCAGAACCCTCTCTCACCCAACTTCATGTTCTTTATTTTCTCAAAAAAAAAAAAAAAAAAGCGTGTACATACACACATGCATACACACACATATGGAATCCCTTTTGTGTTGGCCAACTGCTCCTGAGCACGAGACCTGCCCTGGAGTGTAGGTTGGTACACCCAGTGTCACCTCATTGAAGAAACTGATTTTCTCTCTACCGGCAGCTATCAATTGCAAACACCTTCCCAGACAGGGAATTTGTGCCCAACACACTGGCTTGTGGGAGTCTCTTAAGTGGTGTTTGGGGTCAGGTTCAGCACGCTTCTTCTCCCAGAGCCCAGTAGTTGGTGGGTTGGCTGACGTTCTGATTGGAACTCTGGGCTCAGACTCCGGGTAGTCCCAGATCTTTGAAGTTGGGGTGGCGGGTGGCAGGGAAGAAGTTGGGGAAGGGGACTGACCTGTTCTTGTTGCTTGACTGCCTTAGAATAGACTACGAAGACCAAATTAGCCTCTAGCTGGCAGCAATCTTACTGCCTCACCCTTCTAAGAGTTAGGATTATAGGTGTGCTCCACTGCACCCAACCGCCAAGAGTTTTATTGAGATAGTTTTAAATTTTAACATTCACAGTAAGAAAAAAAAAAAACCCATCAGCTGTCTGTCATGCTTAGGGAGCCACTGCTGCTCCCTAGGACTTATGTGTCGACAAAACCATGGCGGCACCATTGCTGACACTCCGCCATCCCTGATAACCTTCCTGCCTTCCGCAGCTGTGCAACCTTGTACGCTGTGATTTAGATGAGAGCATCAGCAGATACCTGTGCTGTCTGGAAGCTGAGGTCTGGGTTTTGATTTGGCCAAGTGTGGGAATGAGACACGAGTGAGGTAAAAAGCAGCATTCCGACTTAGTTTCCTCCTTCGATGACAAGAGCCAACAAGTCACAGCCTTCGTCACCAAGCTCCCTCTGTAAGCAGCCGCTCCCGGCTGCGCACTCGAGTCTGGCCCTTCCCGTGTGTGTGTGTGTGTGTGTGTGTGTGTGTGTGTGTGTGTGTGTGTGTGTGTGTTGTGGGGGTGCTCCGCATGTTTGGTCCTCATCACTTTGGGAATTCTCAACAGGGAAAGTGGTTGCTTGGTCCGTGGTTCATCTGGTCCTCGTTCCGGCGTATTCTCAATAGTGCTTTGTGCTCAGAACATCCCTATGTTGGTCACAGCATAGGCCAGGATCCCGGTGTGACTCCATGTAGGGTGTGGGAAGGTAGAGGAACAACTGGGTGCTTTGTGTGGAGAATACACTCATTATTTCTCCTGGAGCTCGTCTATCTATTACAAGTCTGCTCGGTGTAGATTTAGTTATGAACACCTTGGCTTTAAGATGTTGACGGGCTTATAAAAGTGGTTTCCATGTCTGTTTCAGGCTCACCCACCTGTCTGAAGGGTGCACTGTTCTCTATGCAACGTCTCCACCCTCTTGGGTGTGCGGTGTCAGCTGTCACTGTAGGGAGATGCTCAGGTGGGCGCCAGCTCCTCTACAAAGTAGTTCTCCACTGTCTTATCAGGACAGACTCCTGCAGGCTCGCTGTACTTCACAGGGTCCAGGTGTGGGCCTCATGGCCCCTACTGGTTGTCTGAAGGGATAACTGCTTTCGCCAGAAGAGACCTCACAGGGTGGGGTCATCGGGAGGAGGCTTGGTTCTGTGCTGTTGACTCTGGAACATCTCACTGCTGATGGCCCACACACAGCATCATGAAGGAGCTGGGTTAGAAGGGCAGGAACTTCATCACACAGTCTGCCATGCATCTACAGCTGTGTTTAGTCTGGGCCCTGCAGTGAACCCCGAGGTTTTAGAAAACTCTTCAGTGCCTGCTGATCTGGGGAGCAGAGGGCTTCACTTAGGAAAGCCTTCCTTTTCATCAGGCCGTGCTTCTTATCTGCCTAGGGTTCAGACTCAAGCCCTTCAAAGTAAGTTGTGTTGTTGAAATAGCTCTGAGCTACCGCCTCCCCTTTCCCTTTCTCCCCTTTCTTCCCCTCCTCCTCTTCCGTGGAGAATAAGGTGTGTGGCCTGTTAGCAGAAACCGCACCGCCCTCGAGGCTGCCACTCTGACACCCACAGACTGTCAGTGACGGTCCCACAGTTTCTGGCTAGCCCGAAACATGGCACGAGCCCATCGGATGCCTGGGTTATCTGTCTCAGCATTCCACTGCCGTGACGAGTCAGCTCTGGCTCCCACAAAGTCCCGGTTAAAATGAGTTACTGTTTCCATGGTGGTGTTTGATGTGAATCAGCCCAAGCCAAAATGACCAGGGACATTTCACTAGTGACCTAATGCTGTGCTGTGGGAATTGACACACCATGTTTCCAAACTCCTGGCTGCTGTCCAGTGTGGGTCTGCACCCTGCTTCTGGATGTGGAATAGATAGAAGTGGGCCCCCATTTTCTAGCTTGTTCCCTGAAAGCAGACTTCTTCCCCACAGATTTCATGTCATTTTGCAGCTCCCTCCATGGGACTGTTGAGCTGTTCTTTGAGGAGATGCTTTGGTCCACACACCGAGAGATGCCCAAGGGCTGGAATGCCTGTTTCTAGCTTCCATGTGACACCTGGTCTAGTGCTATCCCAGAGAGTTTTTGGAGGGATAGAGGTGATGCCCCTGGTGCTGTTGGTTACATACCTGCCCACGCTGCTGAGCAGAGGAGTTGATGGTGTTGGTCTAATCAAGGGCTCCTTGTGTGGGCTCCAAGTGAGAAGAATAAAAGAAAAGAAAGCCTTACCACTTTAAGGCATGGGATATTATTTTATAGATTTATTTGGGAGAAATACTTGGTGGATAGGGGAAAGGCAAGAAGCCAGTGATGTGATTTTGTTTGGTGGTTGTCCTGTCCTGCTGGCCTTATTGGATTCACTGCTGAGTGCTTGTGTGTGTGCGCGCGCACGCTTGCACATCTGCATGCGTGTGAGTGTGTTAGGCCTGCCAGCTGCTGAGTATATTACTTTTTGGTGTGGTATGGGCATGGCTCCTGCTCCCCCTCCTCCCCCTTGTATCTCTAATATCTTGTTCTTCTGGGCCCTTAACTGCTCTCCAGGAAGCTGTTGTGTACTGCCTTGGCTGCTTCCTCAGAGGCCCTTCGCCCTGGACTTTGAGAATATGGGATGTTAGCTGCCTCTGCGGGCTGTCCTTCCCTAACTTTGAAATGATTTTGAAAGGGCGTGTCCCAGCATGTCCCATCAGAGTTAGTTAGGTCTGGCTGAGATACTTTATGTCAAGTGCCAAGTCTTTTGTTTTGAGTCTGTGCTATTTTTATTGGTGAACTCTTACAAAGGAATTTGGTTATTGTAAGAAATTGGCTCCCATTGCCAAGGCTGCCAAAGATGCTTGATTTGCTGTTCCTAAGATGAGCCAAGTTTTCTCCTCTGTAAGTGGAGTGGGAGATTTGGGCTACGGTGTGTGTGCACACATGCACACCACCACTTTTCCAAGTTGGTTGAGGCATACCTAGTCCCTTTTCACTGTTGTATATTTTGGGGTGAAACCTGATCACCTCTGTCCCAAGTGCCCTGTCACGTGGGGTACCATGTCTTCAGGCCTCCAATCATAGGGCAGAATGTATGCATATACCTCTGTCCACATGAGATCACAGAGCT